CTCACAAGATCTCCCGGTTCTTACTTGTGAATTCAGTTCACTGGAGACTCGCACTAAACAGTTAATTTGAATCAATGAGTTGTCGACTCGAGAACAGCTGCAATCGGTTCATTCTAATTAGTCAATGAATCGTTTGGTGCGATTTGCAAACCGATTTAAAAGGTTCCTTGAAAAATGTACTTAAGTACTGTAGCGAAGTAAAGCTACTCCGTTACTGTCCACCACTGAGCCTGGTCGGGTCGTCACCGCTGCGGAGTAACACATACCTGCGTGAATCGCCATAGACATAAACTTAGAGAAGTAGCTCCGGTTGGAATGTTCTTCCGCGGGATGTGTGCAGTTCTGTTTATTAACCGCTAGAGCGCCAAAAGTTACATAGTGCTGCTTTAATGTCAATGAAACATTCTTTCATTATCAGTATCCTCATATTGACCTTTTGCTTGTGTTCCTGCAGCTGTTTCATATAGATTTTGGTCACTTTTTGGACCACAAGAAGAAGAAGTTTGGCTACAAGCGAGAGCGAGTGCCGTTTGTCTTAACTCAAGACTTCTTAATTGTGATCAGCAAAGGAGGAACCCAAGAGTGCACTAAAACCAGAGAGTTTGAGAGGTGCGTAATATGTGCATGTTGGAAGCATTATCAATTATTTTCCAGTGTTAGCTTAACAGAAACAAATCCTTTGTGTTTCAACATTAACATAGTAATTGGCAGGCAGCTAACTATCCGAGACAGTTAGAGATTGAGTTGAACAATAGAGGCTTTCAAAATGGGCCTCTTGGGCCTCCATCCCAGCAGCCTTTCCTCCTGCAACAATACTCTGACAGCCAGCTGGCTGCCAAGTTTCCTGCCTGTTCTCCAGACTTCCGCTTTCTTACAAATCTCCGCTTCAGTTGGGACTCAAAGGAGGCTTCAAAAAAACCGGATTTGTATCAGTGTGTGTGTCAGAGGAGTAGACATCCATGTCTATACTTGCAAAAACTAACCCTCAAAACAGGTTTTGAGCTCATCAATTTTTTATTATATTTTTTTTTTATGAAAAGCATATGAAGGAATGTTTTAATGTTGTCTCATGAAAAGCATTTAAAGTCTCCTGAAATTTTCAGCTTATTAGCTTTATCTATAGAGTGTTGCAGCGATGGATTATTATTATTTTTTTATTAACTTTTGGATTATTGCAGAAAATAAGCTCTGCGACCTACAAATGTTTATGATTCTTACGTTTGGTTTATCAAGATAAGCTTTACAAATGAACACAACTTTTAGTTTTGATGCCTAAATACAATCACCAAAAGAAAAAAAAGCGAAAGCTTTCGATTTTTATTTAAAATCTTTAAGTTGGAAAGCTTGAGTTAAAATAGCATTTCCATTTTAGCCACTATTTAGCAACTGGCTTTTTCAAGAAACCTAAAAGTTTTAAGAAATCACTAATGTGGTGTATTTTAATTTGTACTGATGTATTTTAATTTGTAGAATACAATATGAAAATATTTTGAGCCATTGAGCTTGTGTTAACCACAAACCTCATTTCAGGCATTTAAAGGCAGGGTATGTGATTTTTCAAAAACACTTTAGAAAACTGATTCGGGCCGAATAGCAAAACAAACTTGTAGCCAATCAGCAATAAGGGGCGTGTATACTCGTGATGTGGAGGGGAGAGCTTTCAGTGCATGGGACGGACATTAGCCGAGCCGAGCGACAGAAAGATAGAGATGGCAGATAAAAAAACAAAAGAGGAAAACGTCTGCGGAAAGATAAGGCAAGAAGTAGGACCCGTGTAAAATATTGGATCAGCTTTCCAGTGCTGGAGAGAACTCAAGGAGCGGAGGCCTGCGATCGGACGCCGAGGTTGCTTTGTTTCTTCTCAATAGGTGAGTAACACCGTGTCTACAACAGCTAAAGTCTGACTACACTGGACGCGATCAAACGACCGTTGAAAACCATTTGAAATGTGTGTCAGCACATCATAAATAGAACCCGGCAGCAGTTTTCTGTCGGGATTTGTTGCGCCGCGCCACTCACGTCCGTAGACACGGTGTAACATTGGTTTTGCTTTGTTTCACAGAACTAATCGTTGCCTGGGTTGCGTACGTATATGTGGGGCGGAGCTATCAAAATAGGGGCAAGACCCTTTTGGGGAAGGGGCGTGTTTGTTTTGGTGATTTCAAATATCAACATTGGCTACCAGAAATCGCTTACTCTGCCTTTAACCAAAAACTCATTCAAAAAGCCCATTACTGGTTTCTGAGTTTTTGGACTTTATTTACATGCAGCAGGGTAGCTGAACGTCTCACTGTCTCCCCCTACAGGTTCCAGGAGATGTGCTACAAGGCTTACTTGGCTATCAGACAGCATGCCAACCTTTTCATAAATCTCTTCTCCATGATGCTGGGCTCAGGCATGCCAGAGCTGCAGTCCTTCGACGACATCGCTTACATCCGAAAGACCCTGGCACTGGACAAAACAGAGCAGGAGGCCCTAGACTATTTCATGAAGCAGATGAATGACGCTCACCATGGTGGATGGACCACCAAGATGGACTGGATCTTTCACACCATCCGACACCATGCCCAAAACTGAGCCGACACAGATCCCAGCCACTGGTGGAATTTGGGGCTGGATAACAGGCAGAAACAAGACCCTTTTTTTTACAAGCACTGCCTGTTTTATGCCATGAAGAATCAGAGCACCCAAACCTCATGTACAAACGACCTTCAGAGCACTAAAACAACCTGGAAGGACATGTTTTTGTCCTCTTCTTGTTAATTTTTTTCCTCCTCATTTGAGGCATCTCTTGCCCATCATTGTCCAGAGTGGTTGTACATTATATCTGGAGTTTTGTCCTTCAGGTTTTTTTTTCTCTCCCCATTGTGCTGCTCTTCTCCTGGAGAGTCAATTCTTCTTCTTATCATTATTACATATTACATTTTTTCTGCGGAAAACAAACCTTCAAAGAAAAAAAAAAAAAGTTCTGCACTCTTCAGGAGCTTTTGTGGGGATGTTCAAGTCTTCCTGTTTAAAACTACAAATGCCTTCTAATATGCACGGAACCTCTGAGAACACTAGAAAAACAGGGTATGAAACTTTCTGGTCTGCTACCTGGCCTTTCCTCTCAAAACCAACACTAAACCCCCCAGAAAGGCAGCCGAGGCGTAGCAGTACGAATCTGATGGTGCTGATTTTCAAATTGCGCTCTTGTTCTTTGAGTTCAGTTGGCCACACAGGTCTTTATAATAGACAGATGATAAGGTTTCGGTCTCTTTTCTTCCTTATATGCACAGCGAGCTAAAATGATAGCCTGAATACCTTATTATGCACTGGACGTTAATATATTTTTATTTCCTTTTTATTACGAACTCACATTTTGGCCTCACAGTAGCAATACACGAATCTTGTACTCCTTATACAGAATTTTCAGAGACATCGGTAATGACATGGTTTGTGTTCTCAATATGCTCGTAACTCACTACACAATAACAGTGCAGATCCTCCATGATAGAAAGAAATATTCATTTTAGGACTACAATATGGGTTTTTTGATGGCCAGTACTGATGGTGATGTATAAGCAGATGAGTGCTGATCAAGTATTTCCCTTATTTTACGCAATATTTACTCAGAATATTGAGTTTGAAGCATTTACGCAATGTTTATTTTCGACAAGGCTGTCAGCCAATACGATGGGTTAAAAATAGTCATATATTGGCAAATTAATCAGCCTGGCTGAAATATATCGGTTTATCACTAATCAGGACATATATTTTCATTTTTATTCCTTACAGATCAATGATGTTTTTCCAGTTCCAGTGTGCGAAACATCACGGGAATCCAGGTTATCGGCTCTCTGTGTTTTCTTGGTTGTCCGGTGCGATTGAGCAGCGCAGAATAACGATTGTCCTACCAGATGCCCTGGCAGCGTGCAGATATGAAGCCTTAATACACTCGCTTAGTATGAATGGATATTCTTCTCCACGTGCCCTTGCATGCCACAGGAAAGCACACACTTGTCGGTGCATTGACGCTGGGTAGTTAGGAAAGAACAAAACCGCTTTTTCTCCCCTTCCATTGAGTTGCCGTATCTCTGGGTACTTTATTCTACTACACTAAAGCTTGCAAGACCTTTCCTGTTAGCCTGACTTTTTTTTTTTAAACAGATGCAACTGGTAGTTTGTGTGAGAAGCATTAAAGGGATAGTCCACCCAAAAATGAAAATTCTTTTGTGTTGCCGTATCTCTGGGTACTTTATTCTACTACACTAAAGCTTGCAAACCTTTCCTGTTAGCCTGACTTTTTTTTTTTAAACAGATGCAACTGGTAGTTTGTGTGAGAAGCATTAAAGGGATAGTCCACCCAAAAATGAAAATTCTTTTGTTATTTACTGTAAATGTTGGGAACTGAAACTGGTTGTCATCTTCAAAATTTCTTTTTTTGTGGTGTGTGTTTCACAGAAGAAAGTCAGTTATACAGGTTTTGAATGACATAAGGGTCATTTTGGGCTGGACTGTTTCTTTAAAACAGATGGTGCTATGTAGTTAAATATTATGTTGAAAGATTCTGTGGACGAAATGGATGTTTTAGATGGTGAAATGGCTTTTAGATGCTTCAAATGGATGACACTGGTAAAATCATTTGCCGATGACACTACAGTACAGTGCATTAGAACTACAGATACATTTATATACATACATGCATATATATAAGTATATATACGCACTCTGTTCCCCCTCATTGTCTCTTTTTTTTCACTAGTGAAGACAATGTGCAGTGAATGTTTCATGGTGCAGGATGTCTCAGATGTGGCATTACAGGGCTGAGCAAACTAGAGAAGAGGAAATAAAGGTAGTTATCTTTTAATTTGACCTTTTCAAATTAACTAACTAAGGAGCGTCCTCTTGAGTCAGGTTAAGTGCCTTGCAAGGGGCCGTAATGGCAGTGTTACATTCGAGCTGCTCACTTCGCCTGTTGATTTCCCAGCTTTCTGGATCACAACAACACTTTAGCTTCGCCGTTTTGAACCAGATCGTAATGTGAGATTCCAGAACAGATCGTATCCAATCAAATAAGCTCACGTTTAAAAGGAATGATTCACCCAAAAAGAAAACATTTACTCACCCTCATGCTGATTTGCACATTTTCTGCATATTTTGAAGAACGTTCAAAGAACATTGGACCCAACTGACTTTTATTGAAAACAGACATTTTTTTCAAAATATATTTCATTTCATACGTGTTTGGGGTGGCATGAGGGTGAGTAAATGGTGACAGTTTTCTTTTTAGGGTGAACTATCTCATTGGGCACAAATCTACATTTTCTCTTTCTATCTCTTCTCGGCTCTTGTCAGTTAATCCAAGCCCCTGTCGTGTTTCTGCATTACTTTAAAGCTGTGAAAATGTACATTTACAAAAGAGGTGCAATCATGCTATTTAAAAGGATATATGGCTACTGGCTGGAAACCCCTGAGTACTATTATTCTCACACCATTTTATCGTTGTGTTTTCCTCAAAAGGAAAGTCAGTGATCATACTTGCATAACCACTTGAGATATAAAGGATCAGATGAAGATCTGATTGATTGACGTAGGAAAAACGTAAGGAAACGACAAATACTCATTTCCACGTTACAGTCTGATGAGGTCTTTGCGGAGCCGAAATTCAGCTTAAATACTGGGCAGCATCAAACAATGCAAATCATAATGAAAGACGGTTTGTTTTTCTACTGTTTTTAAGTTTAAAATGGTGTCCTGAGTACTTACTATTGTAGTATTCCACATTTATGCATTTCTTTTTTTTTTTTGTAAGCATTGTAACTCTTAAATGTAGTAAACAAATGAACAGATATACACTTGGCGTCAGACTGATGTATGCAGGTGGTTCTTGCACTTTGTATTCCTCCGTTCTTTCTCTCTTTGCCTTCGGTCCTGAGGGACGCTTTAGTCTCCTGCATGTGTTTTTTTAACCCTGCGTGCTCATTTACTGCCTGAAACTGAGATCAGCTAGAGCTTAGTCATAGTAAGCAGCCGTATGTTAGCTCTCCTAAAGCCATTTATTGCATGGTTCTGTTCACTACGTGTTTTTGTCTGTACAGGTTACAGATCTATTTGGGCTGGACCCGCTAAAAAGCCCATTCACAAATGTCTAATGTGATCAATAGCTTTCTAATTTACTTTTGAATCGTTTTAATGACTTGCAAACAAACTATTGAGATGCGGAAATTCTGGAGTCTTTTGTATGACAAAGGAAAATGAGAAAAAAAGGAGTTAAACGACAAAAAGTTTATTTGTTGTACTTGAAAATTGGAACCGTCTTTGTGTCGACTACAAAGCCGTCAATGTTTCATAGCACTGAAGGTTTACTTGCATAGGCAATTTCATACTGATTGTGAATGTTTAAATGGTTTAGTCTGGAGTCTCTTTACAATTAGAAACTCTACTACACCAATAAAAAGAGAGAAAAATGACCATTTAAATTCAAAGAAAAATCAAAGTATACATTTGTTTGCTATTATGTGAAGTCTAAAAGATGGAGGATATAGAAAATTCTATTTAATGGAAGGTGAAAGCGTGTTTTATTTTTATTTTTTACATTTTTTTATGCTTTGAGTGGTTACATTTCTCTCTCTGTATTGCTGTTGCATTTTGCTCATTTATGTGTTGAATTATGATGTCATAAAGATATGATTTTCTTTACTATCACTATTATGAAATTATATATAGTGGGCCAAATACTTTCTTTACCTCTTTTGTTCCTTGCATGAATAAAAACAAACTAAAAAATAGAAGAAAAGTTGAAAAAGTTGCCCTAGAAAACTTGTTTGTTTGTTTTTGTAGACGTAAGGGATTTTTGGCCTATGACTGCACTCAGTAGAAACCATCTATAAACTGCCATCAGTCACAAAGCCTCATCTTCATTTCTATTCGGTTTCATTGTGCACCTCAGTTCAAAAGTAGCTTTGTATCCAGTCTGTCTTCAGTATTTTGAGTGTTATGTGACTATGTACAAATAAACTTATTTCAAGAAAATTTTCGTGGATCTGACTGATTATATATACATGTTCATGAATTTCTGTTTAAATAACATGTGACCCTGGACCACAAAACCATAAGTCATAAGGGTCAATTTTTCGAAATTGAGATTTAAACATCATCTGAATAAAGCTGAATAAATAAGCTTTCCATTGGCGTATGGTTTGTTAGGATAGGACAATATTTGGCCGAGATACAACTATTTGAAAATCTGGAATCTGAGGGTGCAAAAAAAAAATCAAAATATTGAGAAAAGTTGTCCAAATGAAGTTCTTAGCAATGCATATTACTAATCAAAAATGTAGTTTTAATATATTTACAGTAGGAAACTTACAAAATATCTTCATGGAAATAAAAAGGTCTTTTATTATGAACGAGTCTTTTATTATTAACTATTGAACTTCCGGTGATGTAAGACGCGCAAGTGTTTAGATGTCTCCTGTCTGCACATTTCTTCTGTCTTTGCAAATTTATTCTTCCCTTCGTTCTTTGGTGATCGACTGCTAGACCGTTTGCTTCCAGCAGCAGTGAAGGACTCTGATGTTGTCGCGCGTTGCTGAACGGATCATGTGACGGCGGTGAGTGACTCCTTACCATCATGAGCAGTAACTGTTGCTTACATGCCATCCTGCAGCGAGGTGAATGGATATACATGTATGGATATGCAAACCAAAAAAAAAAAAAACTGCTACTGACTGCAACAGACCTGACACTTTTGAAGATTTCTTGTTTGAAGTTATCCTTTGACCTGAATAAATTTTAAAGGGACGGCTGACCAAAAAAAAATTTAAAATTATGTCATAATTTACTCACCGTAATGTCGGACTGACAAAAAAAATTAATCAAATAAAAAGTTTCATGAAACGTGTCCATATGACATCGCTATATAAGTCTTCTGAAGTCAAACGACAGATTTATGTGATGAACAGGCCTTATTATCCTCTTTGCTGTAACCTCTCAAAACAAATATGGTGCGATTAGATGAATCTTTGGAAAATGTCATTGACTGATTCCTGCTTCTTGCACTCAGGGTGTGATCGGACACTAGGAACTGTCAACAAGACAGAACAAAGGGCATCCTGACCTAATTTGTGCATGTAGAAGTGGATCCATGGGTGTCCTGCGGGCGGTGTCCGTCACCATGGGAAGGATCAGCACATTTAGGTCCTATCAGATCATGCTGCTCTTTGCTGCAGCCTTGGCAGTGGTGGCCTTCTACTACTTTGGCTCCGAAAAGCAGAACTTCTCCAGCACCACAAAACGGATCAAGGAAACACAAGCAAGCCACAACACCAACCGTGATGATGCAGATCTTTCTATAGACATCCGGTCTGGACGTCCAGAAAGCAGAACAGGAACTGGAGATGACCTGGATGGAAAGCCATCACGCTTTCATGCTCTCATGATGTTCACCAAGGTTTACAAGAGCTTGAGCTTGCAGCAGAAGTTTCAGGTGGCCATGCGCTCCATGGCCAAACATGGACGGTTCCTGGAGGATGAGATGCTGGTTCTCCATTACGTCTCTGATGCAGGCAGTCAGGAGCTGGGGGAGAAGATGCTTCCTGAACTTCTGCTGGATGCAACTTTCCGGTACGAGGTATGTACAGCGAACCTTCATGTTTTTCAGTGTGCTGATGTTGGGTGATGCAGCATTGGCACCCTTTTAGTTTATCTCATGTTTTGATGTCTTTAAAATAGATTTTGATGATGATGATAATAATAATATTGTTGTTATAATGTTGTTATTTAGAGTAGTCAAGTTTATTTGTACAGCGCTTTTCACGATACAAATCATTGCAAAGCAACTTTACAGCAAATTAAGTTTCTACAATATTTAGTGGTAGCTTATCAGTGGTGACTGTCAGTTAATGTACATATGGCAGAAATGTACGGAAAATCAAATAAAGACGTAATAAAACAGACGATGAACACTATTAACAGCAATTATTATATGATGCAATCAAACTTATAGCAAAATGTGGTAGTTCAATATGTTGTTTCAGGGTTGGCATCATCTGAGGTCCTCTGAGGGGTTGGCATCATCTCTTCTCAGGTGTTCTGGATCCAGACTGAAGCTTGTGTAAATCATACATCCCGTGGCAAAAACAGCATTGAATTCAGTGATGTCTTCATTCAGCTCAGTTCATAGTATCATAGTATCTGTGCAATCAAGGCGACGATATCGCTGGAAATGAAGTGTCCCCAACTAAGCAAGCCAGAGGCGACAGCGGCAAGGAACCAAAACTCCATCGGTGACAGAATGGAGAAAAAACCTTGGGAGAAACCAGGCTCAGTCGGGGGGCCAGTTCTCCTCTGGCCAGACCAAACCAGCAGTTCAATTTCAGTCACATTGTGCAGAGGACTCATCTGGTTCCTGTGGTCTTGTCCCGGTGGTCGTCTGAGACAAGGTCTTTACAGGGGAATAACATCTGTATCTGGTGTTCATCTAGTTGTCCTGGTCTCCGCTGTCTTTCAGGGCTGTAGAGGTCCTCTCTAGGTGCTGATCCACCATCTGGTCTGAATACGTACTGGATCCGGGTGACTGCAGTGACCATCTGATCTGGATACAGACTGGATCTGGTGGGTTGTTTCAGGGTTGGCATCATCTGAGGTCCTCTGAGGGGTTGGCATCATCTCTTCTCAGGTGTTCTGGATCCAGACTGAAGCTTGTGTAAATCCTAGTTTACCACGGGATGTCAATCCCGTGGCAAAAACAGAGAAACAAATAGGGACATAATTAGCGTAGCTGCTGTTCCAACCAAGTAAAATTAATTTGTTTAACCCAAGCTAAGGAATAATAATGTGCATTTGATCAGATATAACTGCAGTACAAGATTATGATATGCATTATTTGAATGCTTGGCCAAAGAGATGTGTCTTTAATCTAGCTTTAAACAGAGAGAGTGTGTTTGAACCCCGAACGTTATCAGGAAGGCTATTCCAGAGTTTGGGAGCCAAATGCGAAAAAGCTCTACCTCCTTTAGTGGACTTTGCTATCCTAGGTACTACCAAAAGTCCAGAGTTTTGCGACCTTAGGGAGCGTGATGGATTGTAGCGTGGTAGAAGACTAGTTAGGTATGCAGGAGCTAAACCATTAAGGGCCTTGTAGGTAAGTAATAATATTTTGTAACTGATTCGGAACTTAATAGGTAGCCAGTGCAGGGACTGTAAAATTGGGGTAATATGATCATATTTTCTTGACCTGGTAAGGACTCTAGCCGCTGCATTTTGGACTACCTGTAGGTTGTTTATTGAAGATGCAGGACAACCAGCTAGCAGTGCATTACAATAGTCCAGTCTAGAGGTCATGAATGCATGAACTAGCTTTTCTGCATCAGAAACAGGTAACATGTTTCGTAGCTTGGCAGTGTTTCTAAGATGGAAGAATGCTGTTTTTGTAACATGGGAAATATGATTTTCAAAAGACAAGTTGCTATCTAATATAACACCCAGATTTTTGACTGTAGAGGAAGTAACAGTACAACCATCTAGTTGCAAATTGTAATCCCAAGAGATTCGGTGTACTGTCTTTTGGTCCAATAAGTAATATCTCTGTCTTATCCGAATTTAGTAGTAGTAGTTAGATAGTAGTAGTAGTAGTAGTAGTAGTACTTGCAATAATCACCTTCTGATACATTTATATTATTATTATTATTATGTTAGATTACATAAAACATGCTGTAAATTGTGTGTAATAATAATAATAATAATAGAAAATAATAATAGAAAACATACAAAATAATTATTCATATTAATGGACTGTTGTTGTTATTTTTATTATTATTTCTATAGTTATTTATGATGTTATATTGTTTTATTATATTACAGAATTATATTATAGAATATAAACATACTTTACATATTACATATATCTTTAAAAATAAATAGATAAAAAACCAATTCAAAAGCTAATATGCATATACTGTTGTTGGTTTATTATTATTATTATTATTACAATCGTTATTTCTTTATTATATAAACATACTGTACATAATACAATACAATATAATATACAGTACTGGATCTTTTAGTTTAAGTTGCCAACAAGATTTTTGGTTTGTAACCTTAAATTTGGAACGTTTTGGGGTTTTTCTTGTTTAATGCATGAAGGCATTTTCTGCTTTTTGTAAGCACAGCAGATGGCAGTGCAGGAAAGCTGAAATCAGACAGTTGCTTTTGCACACATCATCCACAGGACTAGAGGTTACGCAGCAGACGTTTCCTTTACATCAGCTCACAGAAGAACAACACGCAGCTCTCATACAGCAGCACTCCCTCAAGACCGCTCACGCTCTATAACAGATTTTTTAGTTCATCAAAACAACTAGGGCCATTCTGTGAGCACATAAATATTATGACATTGAGATTGTCTTTATTTTTTGTGGATATTTTTGAGATGAGCATAATTTGCTACTTAAAAGTTATTGTAAATGTGATTTTGCACTCTAAAAGAAGAAAATAATTTTCTTTTCACAAAATGATGGTATATTTAAACACAAAAATGAAAATACTGTGATTATTTACTGACCCTAATGGAACAATAAATCATGCTTTAGAGGGCTTTCAGAAAAATAGCTGTGTGTTGGTTACATGGGGCCAGTGTTACTCTACCACAATGGCTTTTTGTGATTCCTCTTTGAGCTTCAGGATCTTTGGGCTGATCCCGCTGTAGAGGATTTGTCTGTATTACCATTAAGTAAACTTGGCCTAGTTCAGAGAGATAGGTGGTCAGGTTGTCACCGGACTTTCTGAGTTTCTGATTTTTTTTATATCTCATTTCATAAATGCAGTGCAATGTCTCTGCTCTGGTTCATGTATTGAGACAGCAGTATTTCTGCCTAGCAACGTCCCTGTTGCCGGGCATTAGTGGAGACTGATCCTCTGTCCTGGACAGGCGGATGGACAGTAGCTCAGTTTAGCAGGGATGCTGTGAGACTGAGGTTCAGATTACCTTCCTTTAATCCTGACTCTGTTCAACACACACACACACACACACACACCAACACACACACACACACACACACGTGCACGAATGCGCACGAGCACACAATAAGATAATGAGTATTTGGCTTAATGCAACATCCGATAATCATCATTACTACCCACCCCAACATGTGCTATAACATTTTGATTAAAATAGTTCACACACACACACATTCACAAAACAGCAGCTTATTTCAGTGGATAATACAATTTGATGACGGTGATTGTTGTTTTGAATAGTTGTAGTACTGTAGTGGTGGTAATAATAATAGTAATATTAACAATTATGATGATGATTATTATTGTTGCTGTTATTAGTATTGTTATTGTTGTAGTATTATTTGTAGTAGAAGATGATTTAGATAATATTATATTTATGTAAACACACTGTTAATAAAATCATATAGAACCTTTGTAGTCATAGTGATAAAAATAAGCTTTGATTATGATTATTGTTTAATTAATAGTAATACATGTAAATGTATGACACTTTATTATGTTGTATTATATATTTTATTATGTTATATTGTTTTTTGTAAACACATAGTAAATATATAAATATTTCTGTGATGGCAAAGCTGAATTTGATATATATTTCTTGTTGAAAAATTTTCATATATATATAGAAAGTTAAAAAAGAACATTTATTTGAAATAGAAATTTATTATAAATGACTTTACTGTCTCTTTTGATCAATTTAATGTGTCCTAATTTAAATAAATACATAAAAATCTTACTGTCCTCAAACTTTTGAACGGTAGTGTAAATTAGATGTTTTGGAATTACAAATAAGACGGCATGCTGTTTTTATTGACAATTAATCGTTTTTATTGCTGCTAAAAGCATTATGTAAGAGAAGGTGTTTTTATCTAAATTACAGCTGCAAGTAATAATTCATATTATGAGCAAGTTGAATGATTATTACGTGAAACTGAATGACTTATTATATTACAGCACTAATTGTAGTAGGCTAGTAGCAATAATAATAATAATAATTTTTAATAATGGTTAAAAACTAATCTAAAACTAAAAATTATTTTATATTGTATTGTATTATATTATATTATATTATATTATTAGATGTGCCGATATACAATGTATATCACAAATTCACAATAATAATAATCCATTCATAAGCATGTAGTTATTATTGTTATAATTATGTGGTTGGGGTGGCATGTGGTTTTTAGGGCAGACTGTCTTTGTCTGCAGGCTATAGACTGAACCTGTCTCGCTCAAAACTGAACTGTGCAGACACAGAGCGTGTGGAAAGTTCCACTGTCACTGTGGGCTCACAGACTCCCACACAGTCTCATGACATGAGATGAAACCAGAATGAGTTCATCATGCATGTGTTCTCAGGGAAGGGATGACGGCACCATCAGCTGCTGCTGGGGGTCATTAGGGGTCATTCTTTGAGCTCTCTGAGGAACTGAATGAAGCGTGTGAAAGCTTGATGATTTGAGCGTTTCATTCTCTGACATCTGTGTGTTGCAGTTTGACTGCACTGGCAGATAGAGGTAGATGATGGTCACGTATTGCATTTGATATGGCCATGCTAAACTGATTTAAAGCATGGTTTACCATATCATGGTATTCTATGAAGTATATTGA